AACTTGGTCACTTCAAGGATCTCAGGGTTAAAAGCGGCCCCCATGCCATTTGCGATGACTTGAAGGCGGCCTTCATATTTGCGTCGGAGTTGGGCGTCGCAGTCACATAGGAAGACATTGGTGGCGACTGTTGCCCCAGCCGAAAGGCCACGTGGCCGCAGAACGCCGGACGTTACTAGCGGACCGTCGCCCCTGCTTCGCGGCAGACTTGTTCAGCTGCCGTAGCCCGTAAGCCGAACCGGGGATGCCAATCGCAAAAAGCCCGGCATTAGCACGTCACCCTGCTCACCGCCCTCCGCTTGAAGTACCGTGTGCGCGTGGCCAGATTCATCATAGAACAAGCATGCAATGTCCGTGCCGTGGAACGTCCAGACGAGGGGTATGAGCGGTTCCGGGGAAAGGGGCGGAGACCGTCGAACATACTGCCAGGCGAAATGTGGTCATAAACCCCGACCCTATCCACGCTAACCACAGTGGTCCACTGGTGGGACTCCGTGGAAAACGGCAGCGCGCGTGTTAAGGCTTCCGCGCCCGCCCTTGTGGATAAAGCGTGTTGGAAGGGGTGCATGCCTTTTACAACTGGGCGCTCGTTTCTTGAGCTATTATGCGCGGCGCTACGCGGCGAAACGCGTCGCCCATCACTTGCGCGGGGGTGCCGCATGCGGATTTTGGGAAAGCCACCAAGCAGGCCAAGCGCAGACTGGCTGCGACCTTTTCACATCATTTCACGTATTCCCACGCATGCCAAGCGTTGCACCGCAGTGCACGAAAGTTTGCAACGGTCCGCATCATCAAGTAGCACCCTCACGTGCACGCGCGTAGCACTTGACGGGCGCAATGCCCATTCGTGCCCGTCGACTTTTGCAGGCGTTTTTTCCACCAGCGCCACTGACGCACTACCGCCACAAGGTCTGCGATAGGGACTGTGGTCGCAGCCACGAGGGCGCGAGGGCTGTGGCCAGACACCCCCATGTGGCGAAATGGTGGAAGCAGTCCAAGACGAACGAAGCAGAAACAAGTCCACAAGGGCTGATGGAATCGAGTGCTTTGGACCACTCAAATGCCTCATCTGAATTCCATGCATTCCTAAATGGTCAGCATGAAACAAGCATTGCTTCAGCACATGTTTTTTTTTGGTTGTTTGCGTGGGGGAGTCAGTGAGTAAGTGGGTGTGTGAGGGGGTGAGTCAGTGAGTGACTGAGTGGGTGGTTGAATAAGCGAGTGAGTAAGTGAGTCAGCCTTGTGTCCGTGGACATGGGCACAAAAGATGTGAGTAGTCGCACATCCAACAACACAAGTTACTGTTGTGCATGCAAACAAAAAAGTTTTTCACCACCATGGTGATGGCAGTGACGTAACATCTGCTAGACCACAAGTGTTCGGGAGCATCGTTGTAACATATTGGGCGGCAAACACACCTCAAGTATTTCCCCGACGGTCAGACCAGCGCTTGCCATGTGGTTCCTTTTAATTCATGGATCCGCCTTCGAAAACACACGTTGTGTGCATTTTTATCCAGCTGGGAGGAACCGTTTGGCCTCGTGGCGGCCCTGCCGCTGTCCGATGGCGACCTGCCCTGTTGGACGGGGAGTTGGGCCTTACTTGCTGGCGCGGTTGCCGGCTGTCAGCGATCTGCCGTGAGCGTGGCTCATGCTCCTTCTCGGCGCTGCACCGAGGTCCATGAACCTCTCGCGCACTGTGCCGCCCAGCGCCACTCATATGTTCGCCACAGCGTATGACGCAGTGATCGCGCGATTTCTGGCAGCTTTGCTGTCGGGGGTCGACGAGCTTGCTCATATCTGGACCATCACGAAACGATGGCGCAGCTGCCGTTGTGTATGGGGGAGCTGGCCAAAGAACATTGACACGCATCGCACTGGGCCTCTTAGGCATTTTTTTGCTGGCTCCGGGCGCAAAGAGGGGCTATCGGTCCCTGGGCGCGTGCAATTCCCCGACACGTTGTGGTGTGGAATCCGCAGGCACATACCTTTGGATGTAGACGCGCGTGCAGCTACGTCACATAAATGCTTTCTTTTGTCCGAACCGGTGGTTCCAACCTTTCGAAAGCAAGGGGAAAGCTGGCTGGTTCTCCAAGGTGTTGGGAGCTTTCTGGCCCTGTTTTAGGTTTTAAAGGGAAAGGGTGTAAGATGGCTGATGTTTCAAGAAATTGCAGGGGCTTTCATTTTGTCGCTTGGGGGTCTGGGCCAATAGTCTTGGGGCAGGAATCCGGGCTGTCCGGGCTGGGGGTTGTGTGGCAACGGCAGGAGTCGGGGTTAGGAGTCCGGCGCGTTCTTGGCGTTGCATATGTTCGCTTTATTGGGGTTGGGGGGGGTTTAGATGGCTGATGTTTGAAAAAAGTGTCAGGCATCGTTTTTTTGGGGCTTCAAGGGTGTCGAGTCGAGTCGAGCCCTGATCGCCCGAAGGCGTCCCCTTTAGGGTACAGGTGAGACAATCATTTTTTTTAAAACAGCTACATCCATAAGGTTTTTTGGCCCGATGACAAACTGGCAAAACTCATCGCGCGACTGATTCCAAAGTCTGTTGTCTAAAACTGCTGCTTCCCAGCTGTCCAGTCTTTTTCAGCGAACAAATGTCTCGAGACAAGATGGCCTCATATTGCGGGGTCTACCCAAAGCAGGTCTCCCAAGTGGTTGCCATGCCAGCGCTCGCTTGATCCACCTGGTATTTGGTAGATTAGCAGCATGCAACGCAAAGTTCCAATGAGAGCGCAAACAAACTTGTCCCCAGGTCGGGCGGCGCAGACCTTCCCAGTGTCGCATTGCTTTTGCATTGCAATGGTGTACATGATGTGCCAGGGCATGCCCCATTGAATGTGAGCCGGAGGCCCTACAATTCGCCGTGGCAGCTTCCTGAACTCAACATCAAACTGGCGAATATCAGCCTGAAAGATGGCCTTGTGACCTGTTGCAAAACAGGCCACAGGAGTAACCACAGCATCAAAAAATTCAAGCCGCTGTTTCAAACAAACATTGCGATCAAGGAGAATGTCTTTGTTTGCAAAAACGCACTGGAAGCAGCCTGCGAATGAAAGTCCACATCCGCAGAAGATGCTCTTGAACCTTTGCTGGACAACAAACAACCCAACTACTTGCGTGACGCATCGGGCGGCAAAATGTCCACGATGCTGCCGGCAGGTGTCAGCAACTGCGCGGGTGCTTGTGCTTCACTGGTAACAAGGTTGGTTTTCGTGACGTTCAGGTGCAAACCAGCACCAGAACAACAACGAACCAAGTCATCCAATAGCTTTGCAGCATCCTGCGCGGATCGTGCAAACAACAGCAAACCATCAGCGAATCTGAGATCCAGTAATTCAGGTAACCCATCACCAAAATCGAGCCCAAATGATGCAACGGATTGGTTCCATTCGGAATGAGCCGTTTCAAGAAAGGCGCAAAACAAAAAAAAAAAGGTCGTGGACTCAAGACACAGCCCTGACGGACTCCCCAAATATCTTAAACCAACGGCTTGTATTCGAATCTCTGCGCACGACGCCTTCTTGATTGTGATGCACAATTTGTAACAGCCAAATCAGATGTTCGGATACCCCCTGTCCCGCAAAGCTGGCCAGAGAGCAGCCCAATCAATCCGATCGAAAGCCTTGGAAAAATCGATGCTGACAATCCAAACGGGAAGGTTTGCTGCCTGCATCTTATCCAAAAGGATGTTTGCCGTTACCAAATGTTCCTCAATGCGGCGCCCTGTTCTGAATCCATATTGCTCCTCAGGCTGGGAGGAATCCAAAAGATCTTCAATACGTCCGAGAATCATGCGGGCAAAAACGTTGTACATCATTCGCACGTTGGCTATTGGCCGGAGGTCCGTGGTTGCAACGGTGTTTTCCGCCAGCTTGAAGGCACATCGCCATGGAACAGAAAGGTGTTGAAGAACTGCAGATCTAGCGTGACCAGGTCTCCTGGGGCATGCTTCAACAACCCGATGACCAAGCCAGCTTCGTCCGCAGACCTGCCACCCTTTAATCGGTGAATTGCATGCTGAAGTTCCCCCATTGACCAAGGCATTTCGTCCAACATGTCAGGGCGAACGGGTGCCGGTGGGTCACCCGCAAAAAGTGTTTCCAACTCATCGGCAAACTCATCCGGTTGAGGCTGGAGGCTGAGCTTCTTCCCAGCATAAGATGACATCAACCGTTGCAAGGTTGCCCCCTTCGAACCGCGAGACAAGAGCCTAGTCAGAGTCAAGGCCTTCCAGCTTCGAACCTCTAGGCGATGGAGCCGAAAAATTGCAAACTCAATGATTTGTGGGATTGCGCATTTTCCGAATTCCGTCTTTGTCTACGCAACTGCTGCAATTCGAGCGATGGTGCAAATTTTGGGCGGTCACGATTGTAGTGACCCGCTCCCAAACCAGCTGTGTGCAACATGGTTTCAATAGTTTCCAAGGTCGGCATCGAATGACAAGCAATCAAGGATACAAGTTCCGACTGATATTGACTTGGTTGTTGTGCGTCATCCAAAATAGGCAGCCATCCTGGAAGTCCTTTGCGCCGACCCTTCTAGCACATAGGCTTTGACACAACTAATTCAACCAGGGAATGCACGCAACGATGATCCACCCCCGTTCCCGTTGCTATTGAAAAATCATGCCCTGTGGAAGAAGGCGTCAATCTCAAATCGCAGATGATAAAATCGATTTGAACACGTTCGTTTGCAAGTCCAACTGTCTTGCACTGGCGATGATGTGAAATTGGTGCTCAAGCACCCATCTTGCAAGCTTTGATCCCCTGTCGCCAAGCCCCCAAGACCCCAGAAGTGCAACATCATCTTGTGGCAATGCTGCTCCGATGCATGCGTTAAAGTCCCCGCCAAGTATCGGAATGGCTGCGGAAGCACGTGTCCGCACAGGCATCAAATCCAGGATACTGTAGAGTTAGTTCATCCACTCGATCATCGTGGTCCCAGCTTGTTGGAAAATAAGAAGAATAGACATGGAATTTGCGGCCATGACATGTATGTGGAGCCATGCACAACCGAGCTGAAAACGCATGAAAACAGATGTTTAAAATCATTGCGCGCCAACAGAGGAGCCGGCCCGCTTGGGCAATTTGTTGCAGTCGGAGCGGGACGACGCATTGCAGCTGCGAGATGCAGTGCAACTGCTGACCGATGCGGCGGGCTACATACCAGCGCTGGTACAATCCACGCTCTTGCAGGCTTACGGCGGCGCGCCGCTGGCCGCAGAAGCGTGTGCGCTAGCGGAACTCGCACGCGACAGTGTGCCTCCTGGTTGTGGACGTCCCTGGCGGCGAAGGGGAGGGCGCGGAAGTCGTGCGCGAGCACCCGGCCACCATCCTTCGGCGGCCGACGAGGGCGCCCCACACAGCGCCGCCGGCAGCGCAGCCCGCGCGGTCGGACTTGAAGACGGCCTCGCTGCCACCGCGCTTGATAGCGGTGGCGATGGCGATGCTGCACTGGCCGCGGCCGCAGCCCGGGCTGCAGCAACATCAAGCCGCGGGCGGGCAGGACAGCGCGGTGGGCGCGGACGCGGGCGGTGCCAGACGGCCGCTCCGGCGCAAAATGGTCCGTGCAGTGCTGCCCCGCGAGCTGATCGGCCTGACGCGCCGGCAAGCGCCGCAGCTGAGGACCGCGCGCGTGGCACGCAGTCCGAACGCCGTGTCGCTGCTGCTGAGGCTGGCATTTTGGTTGGGCTGGCGCAGCTTGATGCTGTTTCCCTTCAGGACGTGTGCCGGACCCGTGCCCTCACCTTGCAACGCACGGCCCTGCGCACAGGCCTCCGGCTGGCCACCTCACATGCCGGTCCTGATGCATCTACGTCGTCGCCGCCCCTGAGCGTGTCCGGCCTATCCCTACCGCCCTTCAAGCTGCTTTGTGGGAGCACGCCCGCATACAGTTGCACGCCGGCAAAACCAGGATTTGAAACGCAGCAGGCTCCGACCTTGAGTGCGATCCGGAGGATCCTGTCTGGGTTGGGGATTGGTCCCTCCCCGCCGACCAGCAAAGGTTGAACGTCCTGGGCTCGCCCCT